GTAGAACTGCCCCTGTGGGCTTCCAAGACTGCAGCTCTTTAAGGGAGTAAAAACCCCATCTTTTTCCCACAAAGCGGCTGGTGGTTTCAAACTGCTGATTTTGTGGATCGAAACCCCCTACCCCCACCTCCCACCACCACCGGTAACCACTGTGCCACCAGGGCGCCTACCCTTAGAGAGAAACTCGGACTAACTTGCTTTATATCTGTCTAGATGTTTCTATCTGAAGGGCTTCAAAATATTCATCGAAAAAACCCAGAATCTTTCATTTCCAATTTTCCATGGAACTTTTGGCATCCCCTCATATATATCTGTTTCAAACACACACGGGTGGCACACACATGTATATTTTAAAATGACCCCAGAGTATGTGGAACATTTGACGGCTTGGTCTGCCCACCCATCCCCTCACCTCCCACTGTGGCGCTCTGGGGGGCCTGTGGGTTCAGCATTGGGCTGCCGACCGCAAGGCGAGCACTCCAAGCCCACCAGTTGCTCTGCCGGCAAAAGATGAGACTTTCTGGCCCAGAAAAGATTCGTGGTCTTGGAAGCCCTTCGTAGATCGCTGTGAGTTGGCTTGGGCGGGCGTAGTGGACGTGGGTTTTTTTCACTTAGAGGAGCCCTGGTGGCCTAGTGGCTCCCCATGGGGCTGCCAACGGAAAGGTCCGTAGTTTGAAACCACCCTGGACTCGAGTTAGAGCCTCAGAAACTCAGAGGGCAGTTGGACCCTGTCGGGGGTCTCTAGGAGTCAGCCTCGAGTTGGTGGCAATGAGTTTGGTTTTTCGGTGTGGTGTAGGCCACCCATCTCAGTACCTGTATGACTCCTGACTTAGCGACCCGGTGCAGTCCTTGGAGGAGCCCTGGGGCACAGCCTTAAGTGCCTGGCAGCTAACTGGCTTGGACTTGGCCCGAGGCACCGTGGGAGAGAGGCGGCCATCCCAGCCTGAGCACTTCCCTGGGGCAGGTCCACTCTGCCCCGTAGGGTCCTCTGAGTCGGAATCGACCTGAGGGCAGTGGGGATGGTTTGGGGCTTTTTGGTGTCGAAATCCCTAGTTTGGCCGCAGTGGAAAACCTCCCGCAGCCGCAGGATGGAGTAGTTAGAGCCCATCTAGTTTACTGCTGTGAGACGTACAAAATGCAAGACGAGGGAGGGTTTTCACTGCAGCTGGGTCGGAAGTTCTGGAAACCAGCCAGCAGCCCAAAGTAGGTGGTGGTAAAACTGCAACTCTTGGGCTGTCCCGAGCAATGTCCTGGAGTAGCTGGGAAGGAGCCAGGCGAATGCAGCCCGCGGGGCTGGAAGGCGTCGTGCGCGGACTTGAGCATGAAAAAGGAGTGCAGTGGTTTGATGTGCTCTTGCTGAAAGGCAGGCTCTTCTTGCCTGTCGCATTGGGGTGAGGGGCAGGGGTGCTGGAAGCCGGGTCACCTGCTTCTGGCTCTGTGCCCCTGGGGTGCAGGAAG